GTTTGGTGCACACATGAATGTGCACACATGAATACATGTACATGTACATGTATGATGTATGCAAGCACAATATTGTTTGAGTCTTTTGTTACATGTTGTACAGGTACAACTACATAACATGTACATTGTACATGTGTAGTTGTGTAGGTTATGGACTTGGAACAATGCCTGTTTACTCTATGGGTAGATCGATGTTGTGTTCATGTAGACAACAATACAACAGTGTGTGTACATTGTTAACCTTTGACCTGAATGGGAAACATCTGTTGCTCTATGTTTCTGTGCATGTGTGGGAACATTTGCAGTTACCTGGAAATGGACCTACATGTACTGAATTAACAAGAAAATCCTTTCTCAAAAATAAGATAGGAAATACCCTGTGAAATTATTTCATCTGAAATGGTGTCATTCGGAAGAAAAGAATCATTGAAAGTGGTTTGGCCAATTTCATAGAGCTGCTTTTAAAAGAACAAAATTTGCTTAAGCATAAAAAACCCTTTGCTTAATATATTCAGGTTACCCACAAAACCCCATGTGATTGTTATGCCAAGCAGACAACAGCTAAATACCAGTCACAAGCAGAGTACATGGCATGGCGTTTTGGCCGGGAACCTAATTATTTCAAGCAAGGTTTTTTTGCTTAAGCAAGTTTTGTGCTTAAGCAGCTCTATAAAATTGGCCCAGTTCATGTTGGATGAAGTGTACAAAGGTTTTGCAGTATTCGGAACGGATGACGGATACACACACAACGCGTGAGGCTGGAAATATCTGTCAGCGACCCACTCGCAGCTTCCGAGGCCGGAAATATCAGGGTGTGCTGCCTGAAGATGACGGCCTAAACCCGTTTAGCATCGAGGTTCGTGAAAACAATCCCACGCCTGGGTCCAGTCAATGTCAAAATAATCCCGGCGCAAACTGGTTAAGAAAACGAAAGCGGTAGCAACGGAATTTAGTGACGAGACCCCAAAAATGTGCAAAACCGTAAAAATACTTGGGAGAGCATCTGTCTACAATGTACATGTATCATGTACCAAGCACTTACAATGTACATCAGTACAGTACTACTCAATCTCTAGTTATGGGGTGTTTCCAAATAAGGTCACAATAAAAACATATATGTTATGCATATGTACATGTACATGTATGTAGAGCACAGTGTTGTAATGTACATTTGCAAGTGCTTTGATCTCTTTGTGGTCCCTACACCATTGGGGGATATTTTTTTCAGGCATTTGTGCCCCAGGCCCCTATATTCTAAAACATTTGTCAATGAAGGTAAATTCCAATTTGCCTACATAAACTGTTTGGTTATATGTACATAATACATGTGCCTATACATACCCTACATCATCACATACACTGTATGTCTACATGTATGTGTACATTTCAAAGGCATTAGACATCAGCTGATGCCTTTGTATTCCATCTGTCTATATGTTTATGCACCACTCCATGCACTCAGACCACTGTTTTGAGTACATTGCCTGCACAAGACAAAATCCATACATGCACTGTGGTTTGTTGTGTACGGAGAGCACCTTCAAATGCTTCATGGGTCAAATAGAGGCCAGTTCCTTCAATGCCCTTTGTATACAAACAATATACAAAATAACTCTTTAGTGTGTAACACTAATTACACCAAAAATGTAGTTAAAATAAGCATAGAGAAACTGTAATTGGTAGAGATTACCGGTGCAGGTAGACACTGCTTTGTACATGAGCATTTACAACAAGATGTTTCCATATCGTTAGGCTGACGCGCAGACATTACGTGGAACCGTCGGCAAAATTGAACCGGGTTCAACTTTGCCGATGGTCTGCGCGATAGTTTGCGTCTGTCTGAGTTGTCGTGACACTTCCGGATGAAATGTTTCCATATAAAACCGGTGTACATGTATGTCTGCGTTGCAGTTTGGGTCTTGTTTGCGTTTCACTTTGCGTTTCTTACGTCGATATAGAAACTAGGCTTATAATTTTCAGATTTCTGCAAGTATGGAGTTATGTCTGTAAGCATGAGATTTGGTGCTGCCAATGTTTAACATTTTAAACCTTTGTCTTGATGAAAACAACCTAACAGGCCTAAAGTGTCAAACGCTGTGCTGAAGTTACTGGACACTTTTTGACCCAGACATATCCCTTAGAATGTTTCCTCATCCTAATTCCTAGATACACAAATCATCAATTTCACAGAATATGTGCATAATCATATACATGTATGTAAGTTGTGAACTCCAGTTTCACAGAATCCACTGCAGTATGAGTTTGTGAATTTCTATGAATTGCTCAACATACATGCAGTCATTCACATGTGTCAACCAAAATAAATGGTATTCTGACTCAAAAACAAAACCAGTAAGTGGAATCAGAAATTGGCACAATTTTCATTTTTAATTCCGCTTGTTCTGCGAAGAATCTCAGTCAAAATGCAATTGTATAAGCCCATGCTGTTCTCTGAATCATTTTTTTTGTCTCAAAAAATTTGACTATTGAAATTCACTCTACATTGTAGTGTGTTAAAATTTTACTTCAAGAGTGTTGAAGTTGCAATACATTTTATTTTAATAGATCGATTTTATCAAAATATCAAGACTTGTACCAGTAACCAATCTACCCAGTGTAATAGTGTGATACCATTGACATTTCTCAGTATACATGTACATGTACATGCACAGTATACAATACAGTATAATGTACGTGTATGTAGCTATCATATTCACATGATTTACATGTGAAAGTCTTCAGTACTAAATATTGATATCTGGAGGGACATCCAGTGTGACCTGTGCGGATGTGATACAAAATGTACATGTACACACAAAAGATACTACGCATGTTATCAGATACAGTAAAGGTTCCCTAATTTCCTTGATTTGTTTACATACACCTGAGTACATATGATGGGGGAGAACCAATGATATCTGCGTGTGAACTATGTATTGTACATATTCTGAAAACGGTACAAATTTGCATGTGTGCTCGTATTTTTTCCATGCACGATTTTTTTTATTCCATTTATATTGGCTCCAACATCCTATAGTCATTGCCAATCTCTTTTCCCCTTCCCTTCGGAATTCTAGGAAGTTGGGAGGAAAACAAAAAACAGGTGTCTGAAATCCTGCATATGTACGGTATCTCCATCATATTTTCCTCTGACTTATGTATGTAGATTACATGCAGGTGTGTGGATATTGTACCATAGGTGTGGGAAAGTACATGAATTATTTGTGTTTCATGGTTTTGTTTTAGTTCATCCCGTGCTGAAATGCTGACATTCCATACAAGTTTACTGGTACATTGTATACATGTACTTGAGTATGTATTTATGCCAATTACAGAATGTATTGTTTTTAGGAATGGAATGCGAGTTTCATTGTGTACAATAGATGAAGTTCATATACAATGTATGCTGTTGCACCAGATAGTGTTTCATTGCATAATTTCCAAACAAAGGCACACAACTACTGGCCATTGCTTCATGCGTGGTCAGCTTGGGTTCACATGTGGAAGATGACCATCAGATGATAATATGCCCTTCATACACCCACCCATGGGATGATGGTCAGTGCAGTGGTCGAGAAACGTGCCCTGCCCATGATCTGATCCATTGTCCAGTCGTGGTCAATCTGGTTGTTGGCCAGTCTGATACCTTGCCACCCCCCCCCCTGATGATTCATACCTCATGGTCAGTCATTGTACCTTGAAGCTTGATAAAAAAAAACCCTACAAACCACAGAAAAAAAATTATCCACGAGAGATTATAAACACTGCCAGCCTTTATGCTACATGATTATGAATGCAGTATAGAGGACTCTGTCTAAATTCATGCTTACAAAATGTACATTACTCAGTAAACCACAATGGGGGTTGTCGGTATTGTGTCCACAAACAAATAATCGCTATGACAGAATTAATGTCCGATACAAAATAAACAGTTAGAAACACCCCCCATGTTTTTTAAGGACAAAGAGACTTTGAATACAGTGCAAGTAAACGTGTACCTGCATGTATTTCATATCATTTTCGTTACCACATAAATGTTCAGCTGTAAAGGTATAGTGTACATACCAATTTTGACATGCCAATATTGAAAATCTGAAAAGAAAAAAAATAATGAAGTTCTATTCCGCTGGAGGGTCATGTACACATTTGTTGTACATTTATGCGCAATATTTCTCAGTTGACTTAACAAAATTTATTACATGTAAAATGTATCCGGTTTTGAGTGCATTGAGAATTTGTGGCAAATAAGTCTTTCTGGAAAGGAATATGGTTAAATTAACAATGAATACATCATAGAATAATAAAAATGAGTGCATTTATTTTTCAGTGGGCTTTTTTAAAGGCACAAACACTCTACAGTTCTATTTATATGCAAATGAATGTGGGTGTATTTTTCTCAGTGAAATATACATGTCTTTTATGTTTGTTGCCAAAAGAGATTTGGTACATGTACATGTATGTAATATTAATTCTTTGTCTTTTGAAATGTATATCTTCATGTTCTTCTTATACATGTACAAGTAGCTCTGCCTTGGTGGTATTGTACGTTTTCAATGATATGCTACATGTGCATGCATTTAGGGATAAATTTTAGGAATTGACATTACATATTATTGTATGCATGGAACTTTTGTACATCATGTACACATGTACATGTACAATGTATGTGTGTAAAGGGAGCATGGGCTCAGCAGTATGTGGGGGAAAATAGCCTCGACATATTCCTTTTCCATTTTCAAAGGTTAAAATATTTTACCCAAAAAGTGCTTGAACAAAAATAACCGGGCACAATCAATTTTTGATGACTCTGTCACATGCACTTAAAATGCTCTTACATCTTGTCTGACAAATACGGTAAGTAATTTTATATTTGTCCAATGCCTGAATGTACGGTACATGTACATGTCCTTTTTTCTCCCTTTTTTGTATTTTGCTCACAAGTTGTGAACATCATCAAAAACTAATTTGGTATCATTTTGTTTTTCTTCCTGATTCTGTAGGCACAAATGAAGTTTCCACACGACTATCCGTATTCACCTCCAACGTTCAAGTTTATCACAAAAATGTGGCATCCCAACATATATGATGTAAGTATTAGCACAGCAGGGTGCCTGCCATCCAGTGGCTTTCTCTAGAAAACAGGCTTTTATTTTTTGTTAATGAGCAAGAATTATGACGTCAATTGTGTCGACTGATTACAATTACTGTGCATAGGGAATGTAGAGGGCATACATGTACGTGTACACTGTCTGCACTGTGCACATGGTGGCCATTTTGAATAATTCACTTACACAGTGGTTCGTGCTTGCGTAGCAACTCAATCTCCACTGACGAAATTCGTGGCCTTGATGTAGGTTTTCGTTTCACTTGGCTCAGTATTTGTGAGTTGCTTAGCACACGATCATTTACAACAAAGCCTGATAATCATAGAAACAAGTGTCAGTTTTCTGCTTGGTGCCACTGCACTGGGCGGATCTGCTAATCACATGAATGTTGCTAAGCATGGAGATAATTTCACAGTTTTCCCGCCAAACTCCTTTATTGTCTCGCCTGAACAAAGTTCAGGAAAGAGACCCATGCAATCACTATGTCATGTTGGTATGTCCATATGTTTGTGGTATTTTTGGAACCGAATTTAACATTCCTACTGGTAGTTTCGGCTCACCGAATGTCTAAATCTGACGATTCCTAATTTCGTTGCAACAGTGACAGCCTATTGTAAATTGGCCTATGTGTAGCAAATCATGTTTGGCACAGTGTTTCACTTGTAATAAATTAAAAAAAAAAAAAATTTAAGAGACATGTATGTGTTTTTTTTATTTTACCTCACGCAGAATCCTTGTTGCTAATAGTTTTTTGGAAAAGTTTTGCAAAGAAAATGTCCACGTAGAAACGGTTTCAGTTTCCAGTCAGCTTTCATGGACTGCTAATTTTAGGTCGGCACTTCCCTCTGAATTATATTACACTGCCTAGAAATCCCCATAGAATGATTTTCTGTTTAGCAGTATCGAGAATTTGTTTCCTGTTCCAAGGAAAATGATGAAATATACTTCGAGGAATTTTGGCAAATTTTTTTTTGCACATGGCAAGTTGCTGGTCATAAGTAATACTGTTTGTATGCTTTACACATGTACATTATACAGTGTTTTGTCTGGGTGCCTGTTTCTGCCAATTTTAAGTTTCTGTGCTCAGGAAATAATTTTATGCACTTAGTAACATCTTGAAATTGCTCTTTCGCCCTAACTCACTTTTTCTGTGTGCATAATCTAGCTGTCAGCATTTTAGGTTTTGGTACCTCAGAAGTGGTGGGAGAAATAGGAGATTTCAAAATCGTATTTTATTTCAAACTGAATAACGGTTGTCCGGTTTCACCCAACGTCCCTATTACCTCACAGTCATATGACAACAAAAAGTGAGCAGTGAGTTGCCGCGTGCAATGCCCCCCAGAGCTGTGATGGTGAAAAAATTGGATGGGAACACTGTGATTAGTCAAATGGGCAGGCTATTCGTGAACCAAAAAGACCACTCGCGAGTGAACGCGGTAGAGACCATGGAGCAAATTGGGAGATGTTCCAGGTTTCTTTAGCCCGTGTAACAAAAAAAAGGAAGACATTATTTTTTTTTTTAATGTTGGTTTCGAATATCCAGTTTCTGAAATCCAAACCGTAGAGTGGAATGCAAGCCAATTTTTTAAAAATCCAGATAGTTGTTATTGTTACTATTATTATTTATAATTTCTGGTAATAAAACCAAGGATTCCTCAAAAGTACCCCAGGCATGCTAGTCACTGTAGTTCAGAAGCCTGAAGAAACCTGTACAGAGGAGACAATGAGAAGAAATTACAGTTTTAGAGGTGGGAGGAAAACCCCAGAATGGTATTCTGGGGAAAAGCCACAGAATCAGGCAGGAAAACCCAATCCACACATTGGCCCGGGCGGGATTTGAACCCGGGTCACGGCGGTGGAAGGCGAGGAAAGTACCGCTACGCCAACCCAACTCCCCACCATACCTCAGTGTACTTTTTTCCCCACTCATGTTGATTGAGATGAACCTGAGTTGGTAATCCCCTAGGAAGGATGCCTTGATTCAAACATGATGACTGTGCATGCTTGGAAGACAAGGGTGTAAAAGCTCCCCAAGGCCATTCATGTATCAATTATGGAACATGCTTGAACACTAGATGGCACGTTTTGACCATGCATGTTATTCTTATTCTTCACAAAGTCATAGGCATCGTCAGCAATGCATTACTTGAAAGTCCATCCCAGTCTCCCCTAGCTTTTAAAATATGTACATGTAGTTGTATGCAATATGCTATACAGTACTGTATGTAAGCTACATATGTAAATATCAGCATCAGCTGATTTCTTGGAAATCTGTACATTGTTTGTCGTCAGATGTTTGCCGTTTCTAATGTTTAAACCTGGTTTATTTGTTTTCCTTAAAACATTCAGACTAGCCAATGAAAACAGCCCTATTTTACTATTTGCTATGCAAAAATCAGTTGAGAATTCAACGTCAGAATTTTGCACAAACTACAGGGTTTAATTAAAAAAAAACGAAACACAAATGTCGGGACTATTGTTTTATCGAGGTTCTGCATGTAGCACTTTCAAAATCTAGGATATGAAAGCCCAATTCATAAACTTTGTTGTAGTACCGGTACTTACAAGAATCATTTAAATCACTCATGTACTTTTCAGGTTGCGGAATTTTAAACACAACCACCGTTTTAGGGTTCTGTCCACGCATCACAAAAAAATTCAGTGTTCTTTCAGCAAAACGAAAACAAATCACATAGGGATGTGCGTGAATTGTTTTCGTTGTGCTGAAAGAACGCACACCTTTTTTGTGATCTGTGGACAGAACTTTAAAACGTTGGTTGTGTTTAAAAGTACATGAGTGATTTGAATGATTGTTGTACTAAAGGAAAGCTTATGAATTTGGCTTTCATATCCTAGATTTTGAAAGCGCTACATGAAGAAATTCACTAAACAATAGTCCCGACATTTGGGTTTCATTTTTTTGACTCACCCTGTATAAAAAAATGGTTAAAAAAAATGTCTTGTTCATGAATTGCACAAATTTTGCTAACGTTTAAACAACCAAGGCTGGTGTTGGACAATGTACAATATATACACAGCACTCAACTTGCAGCATACTGGCTGCCACGATCTCAGTGTGTGAAAGTCAGTTTGTGAAAGTTTGTGCTTTTTTTTTTGGTTCTTCCTTCCTCGTCAACTCCCGATAATCTAATGTCACTGTTTCCTTCCTGGTACCCAGCAAACCGGTGACGTATGCATATCAATCCTGCACCCGCCGGTGGACGACCCACAGAGCGGAGAGCTGCCTTCAGAAAGATGGAATCCTACACAGAGTGTTAGGTGAGAAATGGGTCACTGCATTTTGGAATATTAAATATTTTACTTTTTGGTTGAAGTAAAGTGGCCTTTGTGCAGGAGATGTTTATCACTAAAATCAGTCAACCAAAGAAAAAAAGGACTTTTTTTTTTTAGAGCAAGGCCTTTTTTCTGGGCCAGGCCCAATTTCATAGCTCTGATAAAGATGCATACCCCAGTGTTGGAGCAAAGGCTTTGACCCTCAAGGCCAAGGCCAAGGCTTTGACCCGCAAGGCCAAGGCCAAGGCCAAGGCTTTGACCCTCAAGCCTCGAGGCCAAGGCCAAGGCTTAACCCTCAAGGCCAAGGCCAAGGCCAAGTCCCTGTTTTATGAAATGACCACTGATATAGAACTAATTATAGTCACATGAGTGACACATCATCACGCAAGGGCGGATCCAGAACACAATTTGGGGGGGGGGGGGAAGAAATTTTGTTCCCCCCCCCCCCAAAAAAATAAGTGGGTCAAAAAATTACGGCTTGGGCTTCGGGGCCCGCTTAAGGGCCCCGACAAATTTTTGGATTCGAGATGCTCTGTGGTGCGATCTGAGGCAATTTCTGACCACTTTAACCAATGTTTTTTGAGGAAAAGATGGTGGTGTACTCATTGCCTGCCTTTATTACGACGTCACATAAAAACAAATGGTTTCGGGTTTTTTTTGGGGGGGGGCATGGCCCCTTTTGGCCCCCCTGGATCCGCCCTTATCATCACAAATTGCTCGTTACGAAGAACAACATTTCTTTAATTGCAATCAACATGCTCGCATAGGCCTACACCGTTTTATGACTGCACTGTATCTATTAAAGTATAAGTTCAGGTCTTCAATATGGTTTAACTAAACAAAATAATGATGTACTTCTATATTGACACACAATTCTCCCAAGTGTAACAAAAGGGGGATCCAAGAAACTGATTTGCGAAATTTATATTTGCTGGCCCAACATGGTCAGAAATATCAGCATTAAAAACAGATACATGCAAATCTTTAGCACTTATCAGGGAGACATAATATACAACCAATCAGATCTATTCCATAGTTATATGCAATTAAAGTGATCATCTCATTAGCCCCACAAGTGTACGGAATATTTTTGCAGCAAATCTACTACAATGGTAACAAAATGTGATGCTACAAAAGTGGAAGTGTGGCCAACACACAAATCTATAGGATGCTTCCCTCCTCCATGGTGATACGATTAAAATGGTAACAGCAAAATTTCGAACAGATTTATCTGGAAAATTCAAAAATCTATGGGCCTTGAAGAGCCTTGACTCAAAATTGCAAGGCCCTCAAGGCCAAGGCCAAGGCCAAGGCTTTTGCCCTCAAGCCTCGAGGCCAAGGCCAAGGCCCTAAAATCCAGCCTTAAGGCAGCCTTAAGGCCAAGGCCCAGCATCAAGGCACTACATCACTGGCATACCCCATGCTCTTTAAAATATAGATTTTATCCTAACAATATCCTAATATAGATTTTATCCTAAATTTTGTTTTAATGAAAAAAATACTTCATTCCGATTTTGGGCGTCTGCAACCCTCTGAAAAAGGGCTTTCATTTTGTGCACAAATAACCCGCCCTGCGAGAGCGGAATTATTGTCTGGTAGTAAGTAGGAGGTTGTGGGTTCGAGTCTTGCCCAAGAGATTTTTTTTCTCACAATCACTCAGGGACAACACTGAGTATAGAGTGTTTATAAAAATACTTCAGTGAAGGGCAAAACCAATATTGAATTTACATTACCCTGATGCAAAATTCCATCTTATGAATAATTGTACAATGTACATACATGTGGACCCTTTTATGGATAGCCGCCGGACCGATACTGTGCAGTGAAGGTATATGCTTACGCTGCATTGTGGGACAGTTTGTGCTGCACAAAATCCCCATTTGTAGGGCAAACTGTCCAAGGATGCAACCTGCAGCATTGCACACTTTCGATCTATCCGTAAAGGGTCCATGTTTTTTAAAATTTGCTTAAAGCTGTGGCATTGCTTTTAATACTGCATATTGTTTGATACTAGAGGGTTCAGGATACTCCCTTGAAAAAGGCTCAAGTGTTAGAGGAATTTTTTTTGTTTAACTGCCGTTCCCTTTTTTTTTACTCGCAGAACGATCCTGCTAAGCGTCATATCGCTCTTGAACGAACCCAACACATTCTCGCCTGCCAACGTCGATGCCTCCGTCATGTACAGAAAGTGGAAAGACTCCAAGGGCAAAGACAGCGAATACGCAAAGATAATCCAGTGAGTAGCATGAGTTGCCCTCAGGAAAGGTTGCTAAAAGTTTCTAGAAGGACCTTGTCCAATCCCTTACCCCCCCCCCCCCAGCCCACTGAACATGTGGGCAACAGCATGAGCTCCTGTCCAATGTAACAGTACATGTTCTAGCCGGGCATCGTACGCACATGCATGCAGCTGGACAATTGTGTGCGCATATCGGACAGCACGGCATTGATTGGTGCAAACATCCTGGGTGGGGTTAAATGGAACGGTCTATTATAAAGGCAGTTGTTCCCATCTGCCAATTTCTATTACTTTAACATGAATATATTCTTGATCGAGAGCTGAGTTCTCACTGGTTCATGCACCATCACGTGACAGCCGCTAGTTCTCTGTTTACTGAGCGCGCACGCGAGGTTTCATGCACAGGTTAAATACGCATGCACAGTAGACTATCGCACTGGTTACCAGTGCGCTAGTCCACTACGCATGCGCTTTACGAAGCAATCACAGAACTAGCGCGCATGGGTAGTGCGCACGCGTGAACATCGCCCTAGCAGCATACAGCAGCTACATGAAAAGATGGGGACAACGTTTTGCAGACATATCCTTTGACTTTAATTAGAACCCATCACCGAGGTTGTACCATGCTTGTGTGCAGATTATGTGCCCGTACTTTATGCTCCTTTAATAAAAAAGGGTTGTTAAAACAGGCGGGCGCTACAACTTAAAGAACAGCACCCCTTCAGTGATGACTTCGTATTATGTTTGACAGCAGGGATGTAGTCGAGTCCATCACAAGTCCAGACACAAGTAATTCACAAGTCCATTCACAAGAAACAGTGGATGAACAATAACAAAGGATATGAATAGCTTGTGATTTGAATTGGGACTGGAGGACTTGTGGTGGACTGGACTAAATCCTGTTTGACAGATTATTGTACACTTAGAAAAGGACTGGACAGTAATACTGATGCCTGAATGAAACACTGTAATAATTTTTGCTGTTTCTACCTCCTCTCCCCTCCCCCCACCTTGCCCATTAGTAAACAAGTCCTTAGGACAAAAGCCGACGCCGAGAAGGACGGCGTGGTGGTCCCTACAACCCTCCAAGACTACTGCCTCAAACCCAAGACACAGACCCCCTCACACAGCTCCCAGGACCTGACGGATTTCTACGAAGACGACGACTATGATGGCGACTACGACGAAGAAGAGGAAGAAGAGGAAGAGTGTTACTATGACGACGAAGACGACTCAGGCAACGGGGAATCATGATGATGTCGCAGGCTGCACAAAGCCCTGAACACTTTGTATAGTTTTACTAGCATTTGGGGAACATTATTTTCTTTCTTTTGTCTTAATTGTTTTATGTGTGTTGTTTTTTTTTTGTTGGGGGGGAAGGACGGATGGGTGGGTGGGTTGGGCATTTTTTGGGTGAAAAACTCCATTTTTTGATAAAGTGTTTTTGCCTTGTTGCGATGACCACGTTTCTGCTTTTGAGACTTAGCAGACATTGTCATGAGAAAATAGAGACCATCTTGACTGAATTTAACGAATTCTTACATCATAACTTCACATCATACACACAGATTCTTTAAACAGTAGTAGACTATGCACATGTACATTTGAAAATTGTCTGTGGCGTTGACCCATCCATGTTCACCATTAGTATGACTTTCCTTCATTTAGGAGCATCCCAGTAATTTTTGAAATGTAATGGTGAACTTGGATTGGCCTACAGTGCTCAAGTGAGCAAAACTTCAATACTTGTGCTTGTACCAATACAACAAGGCAAAGACAAAAAGTGCCAGAATGGATATTTTCACCCATTTCTTTGTTACATGGTTTATTTAGTTATGTTTTGTCGATTTTTTTTTTTTTTGAGGGGGGGGAGGGGGGATTTGATGGAAATTTCATCCAGTTTTGAGCTTGTGCTTGATCTCCAAATGAGCTACCATAATAAATCAGCACAAATTTATCCACTTCACTCCGGAGCCACGCTTTGTAGGATTTCCAATTCATCTTTTTTTTCCAGATTGTCATCAACCCTATTTTCCTTGACATTTTTCTTGACTTCGAATTTTTAACATCCAACACTTTAGAAAATCAATGCATATTCTTCAACAAAAAAATCAAGCAACGCTCGAAGTAATTATCTTATGTCCGTCGCACTTCATATTTTACGAAAATTCATGAAAATATGGGTGTTGGATTTTTGGAGTTTTTGGGATTTTTTTTGGTACGAAAAAAGAAAGAGTGCATAATGTAACCTAGTTTATAAACCAAAGATTTCTGAGGAGGATCATCAATTTTGAAATGAATATCTGAACCTTGTAGTGAATCTCTCGCAACATTTTTTTTGCTCAGAGCCAGAATTCACCAATCGTTGTTTCTGTTTATTGTTTGAATTAATTGTTTTCTTCCCCCCTGCATTTTTTCTTTTGTGTGGTTTTATTTGTATCATATACCTCAACATTGATATTTCTGTTGGGTTTCATAATTGTCATGATTTCAGATTCCAGCAGATGTAATTTAACGGGAAACGAAACTTGTAATAAAGTAATAAACTCAACCCATACTTTTATCACAGATTGCACTGGGGCGAAGACACTTTTGTACTAAACCTGTAAACTTGAAAAAAAAAAAAAAAAAATTACTGCTCTAATTATGCAAGCTGAAACCAATTTCTGTGCATTAATTTCTGCATTATGATGACAAGTTTAAATGAAGAAATTAGCTGATTTTTGTGTTGTTTTATGAATAAGAGTTTGTAATCAGGAAAAAAAAATGTATTTTCAGAACAAAACTCTCCGAACTAAGAATATTCATGGATGTTTACAACAACGTTGCATTGGTATTGAAATGTATTCATTTGACTGTTGTGGAGGGATGATAGTATGGACCTTTGACCTCTAGTACCCAGAATGCATTGGTGCATGGGTCTGACTTTTACGAGAGATTTGAAAGGTACACTAATTTTGTTACGGGAACGGCAGGTTGATTTTTTGTATAAAAGAAATGAGTGTTAGATTTTTGGCAGATGTTGTCATTGGTATGTGATCAGGTTATCATAGAAACGAAATCAACTCCTAACAAAATTCGGAGGGGAAGTTGATTTTGAAGTTCATGTTTTTTGGAGTTTTTAATCGTGCAGTTGGTCTGTTTTTATACCATAGAATGTTGTTTAAATGTTGTTTGTAATGTTAAAGGGGATGAAAATGTTGAAAAAAAAATCAACAAAAATTGGGGTCCATTTCGTCATCAAAACATTTTTTCTAAGAAAGTAGAGGCAAAATGTTGGCGATATTATTTTGGAGGTTCAGCATAATGATTTATACTTTTTTTCTGTAGTAACCCTATAGGTTTTGCAGTTGCACACACTCAAAAACTTTACCCAGCTTAGGAAATACATTTAACGAGGGTTGAACATCAAAATCAAGCTAAAAGGCCTGAGAACGAATTTCAGATGGAGAATGATCTTGGTTTGGAATATTGAAAACAAATGTCACCCAAAAGCAACAAAAAAAAAAGAAATATATAAATAAATTTAAAAAAATGTTAATCTGTTTATTTTCAGTGGCAATTTCTATACATAATTTTTTTGTTCAATCAGCAATTTTTGTACAAATATCTTTAAACTCTTCAATGAATGTCAAACTTCCATTGCTTCAATATTTTCAGCTCATATATTACACCCTCCCAGCAGTTTTCTAACATCTTTGATTTTTTTTTTCTTGGCATTTTTTTTTACCTGCAAAAATAAAATGGTTAGGTTTCTGTTGATAGGCACAGATTCTAGGTTAATACTTTAGTATAAAATCTCTTTGTAATATTTCCTACTTTTTTGTCTCCATTATGACCTAAATTATTTAGCTTTCTACATACACTGTACAAGTAGTCAGATAGAGTTATGTGGGACTAGTGATAATAGTCAACAATAAATGTAAGAAACAAACCACCTTGGTAAACTGAGTCATTTTGTACAAAGTCTTGGTGAGGTACTTGGCCATGTTATACTAGTAAAATGTTACACTAGTAAAATATGGTAAAACAAATAATAAATAGAAGTGCCTAACTATATTCTCAAATTGCCTTAGAATGCAGGATAAAGCATCGTAGATGCCCTGGACCCCCTAGCAGGGCGTGTCCCACCCCCTCCCGGTTCGTATCAACAACCCACTGCATCGACAACCCACTTCCTAGATCCGGATCCGCCCCTGATACTCCCCTGAGATTACCATATGACTACAAAGATGGCAGTATCTGTGATGATGATAACTCTGTCGTATACTAAGAAGCAACTGCAAATGGTCCATAATTATGATGCAAGTATCTGTGTCTCAACAATGGGCCATATGTCCAGTGGTACTTTGGGGGGAAAAAGTACTGGTATGTTTATCACACTCTATGGAGATGTAAATGTTAAGGGTCTGGCTTTACCTTGGTGCATTGTTTCTGCCTGAATGTGGTGGCTATTCTGATTGGTCAGTTGTAACCATGACTGGGCAGTCAACCAATAGCAGGCTACAATTCTCAACGGGGATGTTCTAATTCTAATTGGCGCGGTACAGCAGATGTGTGGTCCACTATTGATGGGTCCTGTTCTGTTGATGGTACTCGGGATACGTGGCTGGCATAATGATCCCCTGATTATCATAAACCCTTTACTACTTTACTTTCTCCTATAACAAAGGAGTATTATGACTAGAGAGGGTTGTGAGAGTGATTATATAGACAGATGTCTCCAAAACATTATTTACACGTAATGAGGATGGATTTTGGAGCAAAGGGCACCCTCACAGTTTGGTCTTATTCTGGTTTTGTGGCATATGGAAAAATGCTCTGTGCTATGTTGCCAATAAGTGGTATTTATTATTTGTTTTTCTTTTTGGGTTGGGAACAGAATAATGGGATTTCTAGTGTGATAGTTTGCCCACTGCCCATAGTTTTTCTCTTCAGAGCTGTTCGTTCTACATGTATTTGGTCCCAGAATGCAGGCAGGAGTTGAAAGAATCAGGGATATAAAAAAAAGTGGCCTAGCTCTTCACTTGTTCCCCCGACCGTACTTTCCAGAAAGCCACACGCTTTGCTGCCTCTTCACATCCTCTCACAGTCATAGTTCTTATCAATAGGATTCCTGTACCTTTAGGACAATAGCATTCCATGACTTTTCCATGACCAAATTATGAAAATCCATGACGTAGTTCATCAAAATGCAGATCAAGACTGCAAAACTTGTTCCGTGAAAAGTGCTTAACAGAAACAGAAAAACAAAAAGCAATAATTTCTTTCAAAATCCAATTGCTTGTATCAGCGAAATTTGTTGCATTTTGTCGCCAAATCAGATTTCCGATGCTACTAACTTAGTCCTCACAAATTTCCAGGACTTTTCCAGGCTTGGAAATTGAAACAAAATTCTAGGACTTCTCCAGGTCTGTTTCGATTATTGAGGCTAGTACTGGAAAATGTTCCTCTAGTTTTCACCTGGTACTGTTTCTCCTTGGCCCATTTGAGAGAAATGTGAATAGAATTAGATACCTTCTTTCTTTCTCTGTTCTTTCTAATTTGTAGCCCACACTTTTAAGTGGCTTTGGCCTTGTGTTGGGCGGTACCCATAAAACAGCCCTTTTGAGTGCTGTTATCATACACATCATTTTTTTTTGACAAAGATGGCTTCAAAACCCGAGGACTGTACAAGAAAAGCAAGTGTGACTTGAGACTTTCACTTTTTCATTCGAATCCAAAACTGACCGTGGATTGTTGAACACTTTTCTGTCTGACTGTGTAGCATTGAGCTGTCAAGTTTCTGTGAATTATCAGAGTTTAATTACTCTATACGATGAGAACTTTGATCTTTCGTTTCTTTTAATGTCAGTGGAACTGCAACTCCAGTTTCCTGCCTTACTATGAATTCACGTTTCACTTTTATTTTGTCCTAAACCTTGTCCTGAACCTTGTCAGTTTTCATGACTTGCATGTTTAAGCCATTTAGCTTTGAAGTAATCTACTTTGCCCACAAAAAAAATTATCAAGTGTGAGTAACTGTTTGCAAAGTTTTCTGAAAATGGGGGAAAACCCATCAGGTTTCAAAATCAAGATATTTTTTTTTGGGGGGGGGGGAAGTGAAATGTACGATTTTGAAGAACCTTTCTTCGGTTTTACATCACTTTTCTGGCTTCTAGCCACAGCTTCACAATTAACAATGTGAGTACTTATAACTTTCAATGGGTACTATAAACTGTTAAATTTCAAAGAATCAATTTAATACCTAAAGAAGTCCGAATTTCCACAATTTTAATCTCTGGCAAGTGATTTTCTTTATTATCTTCTAGATCAACTATCATTATGTCCTGTTGGAACTGTTCAAATTACAAGGTTTTAGTAATCATATAACCATCTCAATAAGATAATTCGATGGAAAGGTACCTCGATGTCAAGCTGATATTCATCAGTTTCAATTTTTAAAACAGAGCTTTTGAGCATTGAAATAAATAATAACAGTATTACACAAACAGCAATTAAACACCACAATTCTAAATGTTCTAATGCTAGTCCACTTCTACGTTTTTGCAAATAATTGAAGACATTACTGAAGACAATCATTTAATACATGATTCATTACTTTAAGTGCACTTTTTTTCCCACTAAAAGTAATCTTGCTGAGTAATACTCGAGAAAATATAATGCTGAGAAAATATTTGTATAAAGATTTAAAACAACCTTTAATGTATTAATTTTTTTCCTGGAAGGAATGTTGTTCCAAAATATAATTTTATTTTAAGAACCTTAAGTTGTTAATATTTACTGTTAATATAAATATAATATTGACTGTCTGAGGGGTAAACCAGCTTCTTTTGAGTTGCCGATGCAAAATACTGATTGCACAGGAGTCAAAAAAGACTTGATACTATGAAGGTAGGTGGAATTTGACCTACGGTCAGAAAAAACTATATCTTTATAAGCTCTGGCAGGAGTTTCTACATGTTACCTGGAGCACGTTTTGGCGGCCCTTGATCTGGAACATGTTTCTGACGTCACAGCCGTGACCTGAAACATGTTTCCTGTGCACCGCGAAAACGACTGACCCGAAAATTGTTCATAACGTCATGTTACTGCCTACGTGACTGCACACCGTACAACCCAAAAAAAATCACAAGGCGACCGGACATGATTAACAATAACATTCAAAGCAAAAGAGGGAGTTTTTTTTTATAGCGTTTCCCTAAAGTTCTAAAAAGAGTAGGCCTGATATTCTGTATCAATTTTCGTACCAATTGAAGGTAAAAACCCACTATTTAAACCCCATTTATGATAAAAAGTAACGTCGTCTGCTAAGCTTGTTTACCTTTCCGCCATCTTGAAACATAAGTGAACCGACACGAAACTTCGGTTAAACTTTGGTCGAAACAATGACGTTATTTCAGTGTAACCGAAGCGCCAAAACGGCCGCGAACCAGAAACATGTTTACGGTCACAGCGCCAAAACGTGCCCCTGTTTGAGTCTAGGGGCTAAACGTTGCGATAACCCGCCGCAGCGAGAGGGCGCTATCACGACCAACCAATATCACCCACGTACCCGTCAGAACAACGTCTAGGCCAATTGCTATTGGTTGTGTAAGGTGCCTAATGCAGGGCGCAATTCAAAAAATGTAGTTCCGAAGCAAACTCTCAAATTTTTTCCAGTAGTATAAAAGATGCAGCAAGACTTTTGTGCAATTTCACTGGTCAGCTCTTTTGTTGTGAGTAGTATGTATGGGACTGAACATTGACCGTAATTGCCTGCAGAAGTCGTGCATGCGCACTAGTTTCCCCTATTTCTTTTTGGGGGGGGGGGTGGGGGGAGGGAGATTTTAAGAATTGGCCTAGACGTTCTGACGGGTTCGTGGGTGATATTGGTTGGCCGTGATAGCGCCCTCTCTCGGCGGCCGGTTATCGCGATGGCCGGTTATCGCGGTGGCAGGTTATTGCGTATCAAACAATAACAATGTTTAGCCCCTAGACTACACTTGTTTATGCAAGATGATCAGAGCTTATGCACTTGCACTTGTTGATTTTTTTTTCACTTGCTGGCTTTTTCCTTGTAATGGACGTCTGGTAGATTCCGTAGTCTTTCAGCAGCCTTGTGAGAAAAACAATGAACAACAGAACAAAGTTATATTATCTTCGAGTAACCTTGAATCCTCAATCCTGATTGGTCGATCCATGGCAACAAACCGTGCTACATTATCCCATACACAAGTACGGTCCATACCGCACTCCGTGTATCGCGCTACTCAAAGATGTGCACGCCAATCCTGCTACACGTAAGGATAACCGCTGAAAAGAGTGCTTGTTCCAACTTCACTGAATGTCAAGTTTGCTTGAAGATAAATTTGTTGTCCCATGTGCTTTTGGTTAGCACAATTTCTTTCTTTTTTCAATAGCACATCATAGGTTTTCCCGGCCATTTTCAAACGTTTTCGTTTCCAATTCACCCATTCTAATATCCAATTTCGTCCAGCAAAATCAATTAAGTGCACTTTCAATGTTTAATTTTGTCCTTTTTAAGCAAATTAAAACCATGAGCACACATGTTCGCCATGCGTTTGCAATTCTGTCATGTCTACGCTGAACAGTGTTGTTCAGAAAACAAATTTGTCTAATGCCACACAATGTAATCCAAATTGTGATCAATATTATCATACTTCACTGTGACCTCTTCAGTAGAAGACGCACAGGCTACTGATAAGAATAATTTTCCACTGTTTTTATTTCCTTGTTTCTTCATAAAACTAACGTTTGTTTCTTTTGATTTTATCTTCTCAAAAAAACATGTTAGACTTAGTTTTGGGCACATACGGGGAACCAAGTGTCATAGTTTTTGAAATGTCTTTCAATCGAACACTTGTTTGATTCGTTTCAAAATTTTTAAGTAATCTATGGTTTGTTGTTCTTGGTAATCTATACGCTTGTCTTTTGGTAACTGCTCTCTGAGTAAAGCACATCCACTTGGTCTGATAACATGTGAAGGAATGTGCCCAATTGTGCTCGAGAATGCAAGGAGTATGCTTTAGCACGCACCAGACTAATTTATTTAACACAACTTTTAAATTGATTGACATATGACTAATTTGATCTCTGAATACTGTCATACGGCAATAGCTAAGGCGAATTCAATCTGTGTTGACGAATATTTCTTGACCGAATACTTAAATAGGTTGGCCAAACTTTGAAATTGAATTATAAAATTTATTACTAAATTGATTTTACTAAAAGCATGTGAAGTTTTTCTCGGACGAATTTTAATATTAGAATTGGGGAATAGGAATGAAAACAAAAAAACGTCTTAAAATAGCCGGAAAACCTATATTTACCTGCTCTGCAGTCAGATCCCTCTGTGGTTGAGCCATCATCTCATAGCCCACCATGAACTTGCGCACAGTGGCCGACCTGAGCAGAGGGGGGAAGTATGTTGCATGGAGCTGCCAGTGGCTGTTGTCATCAGTGAGCGCCTCCCCTGTGGGCGCACCTGAGGTTGAATGTAAGGTGAGGGGTTGATTTCACTCATTGTCAGAATGGAACGGTCCAGACTAGGCCCTTAGCCCCGCCCACATTTGGTTGGTGTGCATTTCTCACAGTGCGTGTGACTGGGTTTGATTGGCTACCGTGGTCACCTGACCAAACGTCATGATATCATTGGTCAATGCGTGCTGTTTGATTGACAGGCTGGAAGGGTTCACTGGCAGGGCCGGTACATTGCAATGGTTATGCGATAGTTTCTGGCAAACACAGCCCAACATAGAAAAGGTATCAAGGTTTCTATCCTGCCAGTTTTTCCTTTTTATTCAGGCATGCAACTTGAAAGAAAGAAAAAAAGGGGAAACTCCAATCTTTACAAGACTTTGTACAGTGATTTACAATTTTGAATGGCAAAGTGTGAAGTGAAAAAATCAGCTGATCCGAGGAAAAGTTGCAAGCCTGTTTATTGAATTTAGAGTGTGTACAAGTATGTATTTTGCAAAGCTGAAATGGAGTTCTCACAATTCGATCACAAGTCAATCAAGAGGCATCCAATCTCATGTCAATCTCTCTGCTACAACGGCATTCTTTTGTCGTTTTTCATCCCCTGTTCCTAACAACCTTATTTGTGATTCGACTTGTGAATGTTCTTTGAATTTTGATTGAACAATTAATGCTTACCATGCCAACCCATAGAATATGGAAATGATGTTTCAAACAGGTTGTCATATTTAGTGCACAGTCTCTTCATTATATCCGCTAGGCCTGGGGAGATTTAAAAAAAAAAATCAAATATGGATTTTATGAAGAAAACATGAGAATGGAAAGAAAAAAATACACAAACAGTTTGAAGGGGGTCTGAAGGGACTGCAGGTACGGCTCAAAAAAAAAAAAAAAAAAAAAAAAAATTTAACCAGATATATTAAAGGGTCCTTGAGATGACTTTATCTTAGGAATATGTTTTGTGGAACTTTCTACTCCTCTTAAATGTATGAAAACTATTTGGCATTCCTTTTTTGGTTAATTTTATAGAAAAGTGCACTTCTTTAAACATTTAATTGTCCATGTTTTTCAGACAACTGAGGGCGCTGTTCTTGCGATGTCATTTCAGGAAGACACTGTTCAGTTTAGGTGTCTTCTGTTCAAATTGTGAACCCATTGAAAACATTTGTGAGAAAAGTTTGCTCACTGGCTTGCTGCCATGTACTGATACAACAACAAATCACCAAAGAAAAGAAAATTTATCAGCAAAATATCCAAGATTCTGGCAACTTTTGGTGCTAAACATTGCACTTCCTGCCTGAAATGACATCACACATTTGCTCATGAATATAGAAATTGGCATAAACATAAATTCACAAAAAAGGCACCAAAATACACTTGAATACGAAAATTTAAAATAAGGTTAAATGGACACACTGAAAAGGTGCATTTTCAAGGATTAAATTAATTTTTTTTTTTACATAGCATGGCCCTTTAACAATATGTATCAAGTGTTGAAGTATGTTCAAGGTAAGTATTTTTTCTTTAATTTTACTAAATGTGTCAGTTTAAGGATTTTTGATAATTTTCCAATTAAAAAAAGTCTGCAATAAAAAAAACCTGTTGTTTGAGATTTTTTTTTTACCTTCTCGTTCCTTGTCGGTGAGATCTGGCAGCCTGAGTACATGTCGCCGTGGTAACAACATAGTTTCAAACGGCCAAACGGCCCAGTAGGGTACTACTGCTAGCCAAGTGTCATTTTCTACAACCGTTCGTTCCTAAAAAAAAATGAGTGCATGATGTTAAAATAAAAAAAAGGTTGAACAAGAAAGTCATTCAAATTAAGATACATGCACAGGGTCTTGGAAACTTAACAAGGGGAGGAAGTCCACTAATTTAACCCACCTTCTTTTCAGCTTCCATCTTGACATATTCAACCAGCATGGGTATTCCATGAGTCTTGTAGTACTCCCTCTGATTCTTGTCTTTGACCCTTGGTTCATTGGGCATGAACGTGCTGCACCAAACCTAGGGAAATAAACAAAGATTAGGGTCAACTCCCTACTCTGAACCAAAGAAATTAGTTTTCTTTGATTTAAACTATGTCTTGAAATACGTAAATCTGTTAAAGACACAGCACTGCCATATATCAGGCCTCCACTGGTTTTAATTCACTGCCGAAGTCATGATGTCACTCAGAGATCAACACAGTGCAACCATGGTTATTGGTTCATGTGCAATGCAGCGGCCAAACGTGAACACAGCGCTTTGCTATGGCGGTTGTAAACCCAAGTTTTATGATTGACTTGAATCTCCTCTGGGAAGCGAAAATAAGTGCAACTGTGGTTGTAACCGGTGTAGCGACAATCTTCTGCAAAACACTTTACCCGTTTCAGGTACTAATTTGTGAAAATGTTCTATAAAAATTGGATGTAAAATTGCTGTTTGTGATTGTGTGTGTTAAACGTACGTGAAATTTGTCATTACGGAATGCACGCGAACTGTTGTCGAGGAAGTCAGCCTGACCTAAGGAGGAGGTGACATCACACTTCGGCAGTGAATTCGGGCAATTCACAATGCAGTACGCCACCAAGAGTTTGCCATGGAGAGTCCATTTTTCTAGTTTACGGTCGACAAAACATGGCCCATTTGAATGAGTGTCAGTAGACAACTTGAACTAATTTGTTATAGATTGGGGCATAGCGTTCTGCCGCCTCACAAAAAAACACCACATTGTTAAAAAGAAAACAAAAGGGCAAACAGATACTCGAAGCATACCTTTACGAAAATTACTGACTGGAAAAACGAACTTCAAATGTCCCGCGCTGTTAATTTGTTGACCATCTCCCACAATGCACTGGGAAAAATTAACTCCGTGGCAAACTCTTGGTGGTGCACTGCATTGTGAATCGCCCAAATTGAAAACTGCTTATGCATATTCATGATCTAGATTGTAATCTACGCTCTCATTGGTTACATCAACACGATGCACTGAAACACTAACCTGACAGTGTGGGTGGGGATTGGAGCAGCCCATGACAGCTCCTTTGTTCTCAAATACCTGCATGTTAACCAAAGACAAAAGCACAAATTACTTTTGTGCAAATATGAATTGGACAACAACAAAAAACAAGACGAACAGCAGCAAACAGTTAAAAACAGCAAACAACAAGAAAAACAACACCGAAATGGAAACAATACATGCTTCACTTGTTGTCAATTTCTTAGGAGTCATTTATTAAATATCTGAGACAAGTTTATCCGCAATAGGACCATTGTATCGTGTATTATAGTAACAGTATTTAGAACAACTCCGTAAGAATCTTCCGGCAATGAAGTTATCAGCTTTTATACTTACAACTTCACTGCAGAAAGTGTTTGGGTACACATAGTTAAGTTTTTACTTTTTTAATGACTGCCTGCTATTTGTAATGTCAATCAGTGTTGATTTATCATGTCAGTCATGCTGTTCTACAAACATAATGTGCAGGCATCAGCCTTTTTGAAATGGATAAATGTTTAAACGGTTTTTAAAATATTTGCTTAACGTTAACAACATTCAACGTCAAATCGTCCCTATTGGAAACCTATCCCAAATATTCAAGGAGATGATTCTTGACTCTCACAACTGCGGTAGAGCAAACCAATCACATTACCAATCTTACCTGAACCCATGTGAACTTTGACCCCAAGTCAGAGATCATATCTGCCCACTTGTCGACCACGGCCTTAATCTCCACTAGTGACATCAGAGGTAACGTGATGTCAGACCACGGATGAAAGCACATCACCTGACTTTTAATTTAACACAAAATAAGAGAATCTCTTTCAGTCCACTTTCATTTTCTTTTTGTTTTAGTTGGGGCAAGTTTGTAAAGTCTTTTCTTAAACCACAGTATTGAAAAGTTATAAAACACAAAGATTCTTTACCATGTTCCAACTGCAGATTTTGCCTGGAAAAGCGGATGCTCACTTGGCCCTGCAAATTGGGTCAAAAGCATGAATACGTTTAATGTGATCTTTTCAAATACGTAGTCAAATAAAAAATGAGTAAAATGACAACAACAATGTAACCTGACCTGGTTCTGGCGCTCCAGCCTGCAACATCGCTGGGAAGTCATTCTCAAAGACAAAAGTACTTGTATATTCTGGATTCACCTGCAACAGAGGACAAAATAGGATTTCAAAAAGAGATATTTTTTCCCCAAACTCATCAGACATGGATGGTGTGTTCATCTAAAGTCTCCTTCTTTAACCTAGGATGCCAATAATCTTTGATGGGTTTTCTGTCCGAATTCTCCGAGTGTTGCAATCGCGGTTCTGAGTTCAGATCACAAGTACATTGCAAGTCTGGTTGCAAGTAACAGGAGATTGAACAGTAATATTTTAAAGCTTTTGTCACAGTTCATTTGAACAACTTGTGAGTTGACTTAGGACTGGAAGACTTGTGATGACTTGTGATGACTTGTGATGACTTGTGATGACTTGTGATGACGTATGATGACGTGTGATGACTTGTGATGACTTGTGATGACTTGTGACGATGTGTGATGACTTGTGATGACTTGTGATGACTTGTGATGACTTGTGATGACGTGTGATGACGTGTGATGACTTATGATGACGTGTGATGACTTGTGATGATTTGTGATGACTTGTGATGACTTGTGATGACTTGTGATGACTTGTGATGACTTGTGATGTCTTGTGATGACTTGTGATTGACTTGTGATGACTTGTGATGACTTGTGATTGACTTGCAATGACTTGTGATTGACTTGTGATGACTTGTGACCTATCATAAGTACCTAGACTACAAAACTGAATTCCCCGGTATCCAACAGTATGCAGTAAACCAGTGCCACAAAAAAAATCCTTGTCAAGAAGACTGGGACCTTAAGTGCAGAACAAAAGGTGCAAAACAAATTCAGGCCAACTTGAGCACCCTTTATCTGACAAAATTCTCCAAATTTCATGAGGCAAAGACAATTCTTAAGTATTTCACCAGCCAAGTTTGAGGTCTCAATTCAATTTTTAAAGGAGATATTTCTTCAACAATTTGCACCTGAGGGCGATGTAAAGTGATTTCAATTTAAGCCTAAGACTAGACTGGTACATATCCAACTTTTCGAAAAGATTGACCACTCAGTATCACTATGGAGAGAATGTGTTGAAATAGAGACTAGCTACCAGATGTTTCTTTAACACAGTTGGTTGATGCAGTACTAATGGGGTGTTGGACTGGTTGTTTAATGTGCCAGTCTATTTTCTTGAATTGCATGTTTTCAATACCTTAAGTTTTGGGACTCTCATACACAGTTTTGCGAGTCCCAAATGTCCAGACTATTTTCGGACATATGTGAAATGGCTAGCTTGAACAGTGCTGATCCATCAAAACACTTCATGAAAGTATGTACTGGTCAGGATTAATTCTGTATTTTAACAACAAAGTCATTGAATTTATTTAGCAAATGGACTGCCTGACAACTCCTATTCAGATTAAACAGTGGGACATCACGCACTGCTTGAATTCCCACTTACGTCGCCATGTGCTCGTGTGGCCCCGGGGCACAGTGGGTTTTTTGGGTCATGCCGGGGGATGTTTTCATCTGGGATTTTCTCCACCTGTCCCTTCCATGGCCTCTTCATCCGATGCGGGGACACCAGCACCCATTCATCCTTCAGTGGGTTGTAGCGTGTGTGCTGATGCTCTGGGAACACAATCATTTGACATTGTGGTTACTTCAAAGATGTTACAGGGGGGGGGGGGGGGATCAACTCGTGCCCTCGACCTCGTGTGCACGGGCAAATATTTGCCTGCGCCATACAAAAGGGTTGGCCTGATTGTGTCCTTTACTTTAATAGCCGTGATAGAAAGAATGTAGCATCCAGACGCCACTTCTTTTAGTTGTGTACAAAGTCTATGGAGAGTCGAGTGTTACTATCGTCCTGTGCCCCAAATTCGCGCTGCCCAATATTCGCGCAACCAACTTTCTCGGCTTGTATCTTTTTCACAAAACACGGACCAACGTCAAATCACCGTCGTTGATCTATCGTCACATCGCCTTTCTTCTCGATGCAGTTATGCGGAAATCAAAAGCTTTTCCGAGAAGTAATTTGAAAGAAATCAAAGAGAGTGTAAATTATTGCTGTACTGACTAGATACAAAACGTAACATTATTAAATGGCCCAGAAAACTAATAAAAACATTGCTACGAATTTCCAATCATCAGTGTCGCCGTCCAACCCTGAAACGTGAAAGACAACTTCGGTTGACTTTCACTAAACAACAGTGGGCGTAATCAGAATTACGGAGCACGAAATACGACGTGCGCCTTATATCGCATTTTTATTTTACGATGTTTCGCAGAGATGCAGATTTCGGTACCGAGTTGTTTGTTGGAATGAATATGGCTTAAAACATATTTCTGTGGGAATAAGACCTAATTGTAATGTTTAAAGTACCCAAAGAGTAGGCCAATAGTCAATACCTGTTTTTTTTTTTATTGAAATGATGTGTATCATGCAACCATGTGTCGAGGCGGCGCGATCGGATCGGCCACGGTATGGTATGGTCGACCACATGCAGGCGCGCGCCTGTATAATTGATTGATTGATCGCAGGTGTATTAGAATGAGCAATAAATGAGCAACAAATATATTTGTCCATGTACTTAAAAATATAGCCACAGCATACTTAAGTTATATTGCAAATGTTTCTATCATTTTGGGAGAATCTGCATACATTTGTGAAATGTTATGTAATTGGCACATGGTTGATTTTCAGCAAAGCAAAATTCTCGGAACTCTTTCCATGCATAGGCTTTACCTAAGCTTCTTATACTTTCGACAAAAGTATTATTATATTTGTGGATTTAGTTTATTTACCTCAAATTTTCAATTATGATATGATTCTAAATATTTTGCATGCAGTTGTTTTTACCAAAATCAAAAGAAATTCATTTATTTCATATTTAAACAAACGTGTATTTAGTAACAATGTCGGATGGCAAACAAAAGTTAGTTAATCAAACTACATGTAGAGACCAAAGTTGTGCACATAAACTTATCCTTTATTCAACAAACATCGATCCACATTGTTTTAAGAAGTAGGACACAATGGAGACTCCGTAGAATGACGTTTTCCGTTCGTGCGTGAATTATGGGCACGAAACCTTTGTGGCAGCCAATTTGACTCATCTGCAGACGACAACGTTCTTGGTGCTTCCTTGACGTTCGATATTGTTCAAATTATTTTTCCATGTAGTTTATTAGTCATTCTTACAATACTATACTATAGTCCATTACTGTGTAGGATTTAGTTTTTGCAAGAAAAAATCGGTCAAAGTACTTAGTGCGCGAAAAATGGTCACACGAGGATACTCTACGCCACGGACGTCCGTGACTCCGTGGCAGTGCGTGGGCGTGGCCAATGCGCTAACAGTAACACTGATCAACAATAAATTATCACGAAACCAGTGACAAAATCTTTACCTTTTGGATCGAAGGCTTCTGCCATATTGCTTTCGCGATCTGCACTTAAAACACAATATACTCAAGCAAGTGGGATCACTGCAAGTAATAAATTCAGGCAAATGATTGTCTTTATCACTTATCAGATGAACCGACAGGTTTATCACACATTCGAAGGAGAGACAAATTCTGCAGGTAGGCTAGTCTGGCTGCTTTTTAGAACCAACCAGGAATACGTTGGTAGCTATTGGAATTCAGACTGAAAATGTTTTGAAACTAGAGAGGGCGCTATTTTAAAAGTGGTAATGTGAACACTGAATGTGAAGTGGAAAATTAGTTGATTGGAAAATTAAAAATTGAGGGAACATTGGTTCTGGCTTTCCGTTCTCTTACGATTTTTTTCAACTTTGGGTTGGCTTGTAATATAAGGTCGATTAAACGTACCACTGTACAACATGTGCACAATTTGATGACTGCAATTTATGTGTGCCAAAGTCATAACGATTCAGCATTATAAAGGCTAATAATTCTTGTCAACATGAAAACCAAAGAGTGTTGTATCCACGCGTCAGTTTACACAGTGCATGCAGGATAATAAGCCAAAGAGCCCACGGAACGTGAATAAATAAGTCTGAGACATAACACTGAGTTGGTGTTGTGCCATAGCAAATGGCAAAAAAAAGCCTTGCCTCCTAGCAATTTCTCACTCGTAATTCGCGTCACAGGAAAAACCAAACGAAAGGAGAATTCCCTTACATAAAAAAACAAGTTCAGGGACGTACCTTTAAAAAAAAAGTACCTTTTTTCCCTTAACGAAATATCTAATGTGTATCTTTTCTTTAAGCAAAAACAAATATTTGTTTATTCTGATTTTGGGCGGCTGAAAAAGATCTTTCATTTTACGCACCAATGACCCCCCCCCCATGCGAGGGCAAAATTATTTGAATTTTGGAAAGAAATTCAACAACTAAACGCGTTGGTGGATATTTTTTGTTTGGTGCTTCATTCAAAAAATGCTTTAAAAATAGCCATTGACAAAAAGGTTTTTTTCGAGGGAAAACTCCGTCGAAAAATAGCGCGGGGAATGCATCTTTAAATTAATAGTAGGTATGTTGATGCATCTTGGAGTGGCAGTCACATGACAAGCAAAATTGATCAACAATTATATTATTATTAATTTCTCGTATGTATGAAACCGAGGAGTCCTCAAAAGCCAAGCCAATGTAGCTTGCAAGCCTGAAGAAACCTGTAGAGAGAAGACTATGAGAAAAAAAAATTAAGTTTGAGAGAGCTGGGAGGAAAACACCAGATGAATATAATATACCGGGGAAAAGCCACGAAATCAGGTGGGGAATGAAAACCCAATCCACATTGTGGCCCGGCAAGGCGGGATTCAAACCCGGGTTACGTAGTGGAAGGCGAAGAAAGTACCGCTACGCCAACCTGACCACCCCCCCCCCCCCGTAACTTCGCAGCTGATTGGAATGAATTGGCATTTAAGCACCAAAATTAATAAAGAGAGGGCAAAAGGCCAAGGTTTTCCCTCAAATGCTGCTCAGATTGGGCTCTTACTGCCTTAGGGTATAGCAGTGACTTTGCATTTGCACGCAAAGCGAAGTTAGGATACGAAATAAATAGGCCCATAGGCCTAACTTGAAAATATACATAGGCCGCAAGTCCAATACAGCGCTGATCGTTTTTCGTCACGCCTGACTGAGCAAGACGTATACCTGTCTGCGCTATCGATGCCTTCGTATTTTTTTTATGTACGCGTAGTTGAATTATGAACCGCCTTTGATAAACACACGGTACAGGTGGACCATTAATGAATGCATGACCGCGTTTGAATGGGTCCGTTTGTGTAGACTATTGGATCAGTCAAACTGTCATGCGAAACCATTTATTTATCGGCCACGGCATCACGAAAAATTCAAGTACAGTTTGCCAAAATTTAACAGCTTCTTCTGTCGATACGGTCCCTCCGAGGCCGAGTATCACCCGTTATCCACGGAGCCCAGTCTCATGGTCGGCTTCGCAAAGACTTGGTTGAATGCAATGCGGCTATGATGCGAAACCATTCGGCAACAAGGTAGGCCTAGTATTTTTAGCAATTAATCGGTCTGGCTCGCCGCTGCGCCTCCGCATAACACGGAAGCGGAGACACGATTCAGCTGGTTCTTGCTTTGTTTACAAATATAACACTGTGTTGTGTTTTTTCCTTCTGATATTTATAACAACATATTATTCACAGTGCAACAAATTCTCACGGACCTCGGATTTGAGTTTGTCACGAGATCTCGAAGAATAAAATAGTAACTTCATTTGCCCAAGGCTGATCGACCTGCACTGTAATTATTCATGGACATATTCATGTTGTTTTATTACATTTTGAAAGTTTGTATCAGTCTTTTTTTACATCACATTCCTGGCAAACAATTGCAATGAATTTAAAGCTGTTTCACCATTAATTATGATAATTTTATGCGGTTGTTGTTGATATGATACATGGCCGTCCTCAACCTTGAGTTGCCTAGCCTTGACCAAGGCTATCAGTTGTTCCCATATGAGCTTGTTCCCGCTACCGCACACGGCGCGCGCAGCAACACAATGTTGTACTATACCGTTAGCCCCAACGACCCTTGCGTGTGCTTTGTGTTCATGTACGTACGCCCCACACTCACTTCCGCAAACAGCCGTACAGTAAGTCGAGGCAGAAGATAGCCTTGACGCAACAGTGTATGCTGAATATGATAATTAGTTCGCGCTATGGTAAATAGTCTTCTCTCATTGGATAACGGCTGACAAAAATATGAATATTTATTAAATTGCATAATACGACCAAAGGTTTATAAACCAGACGGCCTGTGGTAACAATAATTATTGTAAAACACCCCCTTAAAATCTTAAATAATAGTAGAATAATATTTATAAAGTTACACATAGTTTGGGTCGAAAATGAAATGAAAAGGATGAAAAATTAGACCTTCAAAAAACGGCAAACGGTACAAAACCGCACGCCGGCAAAAACGACGTCAACATGCACAGAGGCCACGTTGGGGCCGTCCACTGTAGGCACCGGCCCGGCTGGCGCCATGCAGTGAGACACGCTGCGCTTTCACGTTCAGCGGCCAAAAAAGCGCTCACACTATTGAGTATGTATCTACCGCTGACTTTTTTTGGGGGGAGGGGTATCTCTCCTTCAGCAAACTTATTCTGTAAGACTTATTTTAACTTGTATGAACAACTTATAAGTTATATGTCGTATGTACGACTAATATATCGACAGGGTACGACATATTTTCGACAGGGTACGACTAATATCATCGACAGGTTACGACATATATGTCGACAGGGTATGACATATCAAACATATGACATAATGTCGACAGGTGCCGGTACGACATATATGTCGTGCATAAGTCGAGTCGACAGGGTACGATATATGTCGCATACGACAAAGTCGTATATATAAGTACGACTTAATATCTCGTGTGTACAAAATATGAATTGTAACTCGTATGTTCGACTTGTTTGTCGATTATGTCGTACATACAACATATCTTGTGAGAACGACTTGTATCTCGTACGATTTACATCTACGACTTACATGTCGTACGTATGTCGTAGGTACGACATACGATTCATACGTACGCGTTAAAATACATGTGTCGTACGTATGAGATGTACATGTATGTTGCACATGGTACAAATTCAGGGAGAGTTTTTTTTTTTCACCATGTACCTGACAGTTTCGTATATTTCCATCCCAAAGTCAATAGCTCGTTTCTTGTACTTAATTCATACGGGTGCTTATAGATACGAGTTAACCTGCATTCGATTAAATGGGTACAATTTGACCTGGGTCCGAGTTGACCTATTCCCTACATTCGCTGTCCGGCAGAATAGCACGGGCAGGTAGCGGCGTGATAATGTACGCTGTTGCACCGACAAAATGTCGGCGGACGGTCTTGAACTGTCCAATTCGCAATACATTGGAAATATATCATTTTGAACAATTGTTCACTCATATAGCGGCATATTTTATTTGTTTGTAATAAAACTGGAGAAATGGTTTAAAATGGGACCATGGTTTGAGTGAACATACATGTACGTGGTGATAGCCTTGGTCAAGGCTATGAGTTGCCTCAAACACAATACAGCGCAGCGCGCACACTGTTGACGTTATTATAACAATGTACAATTATGGCCTTTTCATCCAACGTATCTTAATTTATTAAATAAAATGGTTTAATATGGCTATATGTATCCCGAAGTCCGTTCTTTTGTAAATTACTGTCATATTTTCCATTTTAACATTGATGCTTACCATATACAGAGGGGCGACGACGATTTTTTTAATTTGGTGATGGGGGGGGGGGGGGGGGGTTGGCGGGAATGTGTTTTTATCTCTAAAAAAGAAAAGAAAAAGAGGTCAGAACTGTCACGACATGTAAAATAAAACTATCGCCCTCATCTGCCCGGTACTCAATGAAGGCGACAGCAAAAAAAATAATTAAAATTTACCCAAACACAAAGAGTTGGTCCCAATACTTACAAGGTAGTGCTTGTCCTAGCTGTTTCTTTCAGATATCGATCAAAACAAATCGATCAGTGTCTGAGTTAAACAAAAAATACACAAGGTCCTTTCAGTGACACAACGTGGCCATTGACAATTGTTCTTTATGTACAGTATAGCAAAAACCAGGTCATCTAGTCGTAGTCGAAAATTAAATTTTGAAAGCAGAAATTATTGTGTCTGTAAACCGTCAGCGGCCAAAGAATATAGTGCATTCCCTCCCCGCTTTAGAAGGTCGACGAAAGTTGGTTGTCAGTATTGAACGGTACAGACAGTATTGTGACTGAGTTTCATGCAGCAGGCTATCTCGTCGTGGTTAAAAATTCAATTTCGCAAACAAAATTGTTTTATGTCCGTAAACAGCGACCAAAGAATAATAATATAGTGCATTGCATTCCCTCCCTTTAAAGGTAGTCGTGAGTTCGTTGTCAGTTGACCCACAAGAGACAGTATTGTGACTGAGTTTATGCACGGAGGAAGGAAAACATGGTGTTGTCACATGGAACGTTTTTGTTGCGAACACAAAAAAAAGAACTGTATTCTTTCCAGTCTGTACTTTTATGCTTTCATCGATGCTTGATCGATGGGACCTAACCGTGAACCCGCTATACACCAAGCATTGAGTATGCACCAACCGTGACGTTTTACAGATCCATAAAGCCCAAGTAAACAGCACTTGCACCTGAATCGGGCTTTGATTTGCATACAAACATAACATTACAAGGCTTTATAGCAGTAACGTTTCTGTTGATTTGCACATTTCAGACGTAGGCCTACGTATACACCAGCGACGACTTTGCAGGCTCTCACATGTTGGACCCTGTCTCAGATAAACGGTCGATAAAACTAGAAATATTATTTGCCTCCCAAACACATGCAGCTCAGCCTATTGAACCCAGTTGATTGCATTACGAGTAGGCTATTCATTTGAGTAACATTACAGAAGAGCCTAGCCACCATGCGAGTACTGACAGACGCTCAGACGAGCAGCACGGAAGATGCCGTTGATTTCCACAATGTGGCCCATCCTGAGAAACTCCTGGCCGCGCTGAAAGACCAGCGGCTGGACCGTCGATTTACCGACGTCGTCTTGCGAGTTGAAGATAAGGAGTACCACTGCCACAGGAATGTTCTGACGGCCTCCAGTGCCTACTTCAGGAGCATGTTTCTCAACGACATGAAGGAGAGTCGGGAGAGAATGGTTGTCATCAAAGGAGTTACTTCAACCAGCATGGAGTTGGTCTTGGATTATGCGTATTCGTCTAGAGTGAGCATCACGCCTAGTATCGTGCAGGGTCTTCTGAGCGCTGCGGACCTACTGCAGATAATTCCGGTGAGGAAAGCGTGTGAGTCGTTTCTGAAGGATCGTATCCACGCTTCCAACTGTCTTGGAATCTACTTGCTAGCTGAGCAGCATTCTTGCAAGGAGCTCTCACACGAGGCCTGGTCCTATGCCCTGGATAACTTTCCCCGGGTCTGCTGCTATGGAGAAATCCTGAAGCAATCCCTGGCGATCTTGGTCAAGTATTTTTCAAGCGACGAGCTTGTAGTTGAGTCGGAGGAGGACGTGTGCGAAACCATGCTGAAGTGGACGCTGGCCGACATGAGCCAGCGGCATAGCCATCTGCACGTTTTGCTTACTCACCTACGCTCCCACCTGCTGCCTCGGAAGTATCTCACGGAGAGAGTCCTCACCAACGAAATCATCACTGGGGCCATCGACACCAACAAACTATTGAGTTCCTATTACGGTGGCAGCGAGATTTTTGTCTCGGGTAGGCTGAACAGAAGACAGACTCGTTCCCGTAAAGTCATCGTCATTGTGGGTGGCGTAGGGCCGGCAAACACCAAGCTCAGAGATCTGAAATACTACGACCCTGTCGACCGACGGTGGGGCACTCTGACCCTGCTCCCGGCCTCAGCAGAGTCCGTGAGCGGCGTGGAGGTAGTCAACAACGACATCTATGTCACGGGCTTCAGGGGGGATGTCTCGGTATTCAAGACGACCAGCGGCCGGTGGGAGACCCTGACATCTCCGGAGATTGAGGCGGGAACCAGACAGAGAAGGGTAGCGGCCATACTAGATGGCTTCATCTACCTTGTAGGCGGTTATGACGGTACGGCAAGGTTGGCAAGAGTGGACAGATTCGACACGAGGACCAAGACATGGCAAGAGGTTGGTACATGTATATCATTTTTTAAGTTATTGCCCCTCACCGTTTTAGTTTGCACCAGGTCGTCAAAATGTCGCACAAATTGGACGCTTCTTTTGGTACAAATGTATTTTTTTGAAATAGGGTTTTGCCCTTCACCAACGTAGTATTAATAAACAATAAGCACTGTATGTCTCAGTGCTAATATTAATACGACGTCGGTGAAGGGCAAAACTCTATCATATAAAATATTTATCCCCCCGACGCAAAATACCATCGTCTGGTACAAGGTACATGTATAATTATCTCCAAAAATGGTTTGATGTTTACCATTAAAAGAGATATTGGGACGCAACAAAGCATGGACTTCATTTCTTTCTCACATCAAGAAAGATTATGATTGACTTTCTAAACTATGACAAACGACTTCCAGGTATCCCTCAGTTTTTAAAACTTCTCTTATCAAACTGGTTGTTCTAATTTGCTGTTTCACAGGTGACATCTCTACCAGAAGCTGTCAGCTCGCCCGCCGCCGTCTCGCACGGCGGCAAGCTCTACGTTTTCGGTGGAGCTCTCTCGGACGAGGTGGCCACCGACCGCGTGCGGTGCTACGACCCAGGATCCAACCGTTGGTTCCCCCGGGCACCGATGCCTCACGCTCTGTCAGGGATCGCGGCCCGGGTCCTGGGGGACCGTATCTACATCGTGGGGTGTTTGTCTCAAATCGTACACCGGTACGACCCGATCTCTGATACCTGGAGCCAGGTGACTAGTATGCGACGCACGCGGGCGCTATGCTCGGCCGCAGTCTGTGACGATAAGTTGTACGTGAACGGAGGAGAGGACCAACCCAACAGTTTGACGGATTCCATGGAGTGCTACGACCCCGTGGCAAACCGATGGACGCCGTGCTACGGACTTCCCTATCCAGTCAAACTACACAGCTGTGTTGCGATCATCAAAAGACTTTAAACGATCGATATTGACCATTCACTTCACTATGAACCTGTTTGAAAAAAAATGAGCATGATCACCAACACAATCTTAACCAAGTTCAAAAGAAACCAAACATTGTTTACGCCAAGTGACAACTTGGGAACCGCCAACATAGTGTGGATATCGCAATTGATGGAGCACTGGAACGGCAATCCGGAGGTCGCAGGTTCAAACCCCGTTGGATTGAGGGATGGTTGGGTGCCACCGCCTCTCGTCTTATCGATTTAATTACTTTGACATTTATACTGAATTTTTTTTTTTAACAACATGCGATACTCCAAAGACAGATGCATTGCAGATGGTATTTGATTTCTGTATTATGTGTTATCATCTCGGCCATCTGTGCCGAATTTAGCTTTGTGAAGTGGACTCGATAAGAAGAAGTCATCTATCTTTGAAAAATCTCAAATCCGCCTTGAAATTCCATTTGTTTCTATTTTCACGTTCACGTTGCGCAAGAGTAGGAAGTGTACCATAATACAATGTGACTGTGAAACCGAGTTCAGAAAGATTTTGGCTGTTTTTTTTTTGGCTGGTACCAAATGACGTGAAAATTGTTGATGTAAGTTGCTTGAAAGATATTTAGAAGAGTTTGGACAGTAAATTCATGCGTCTGTTGTTATTCAAACATTATTATTGAATAGTAAATTGAAATGCATGTTTTCGAAAAGTACAGAACTTGGGTGAACATGCTTGAAGGGGGAAACTTTTTGCAACTCGTATTATAATTATTTATAAGAGTTGAAATATTTTAATAATTTCTTAGTAAATACTTGTATTTAAGAACAAACCAACATTTTACGGAGTGTACTTTAGTGTCGTGAAACAACGTGATTTGATCACGTTATTTGATTGAATTAAGTATCCAAAAACACACAATGAATTTATGTGTATAATAATATTGTTTATGTGTATTATTCCATCCGTTTCCCAATTTGCCGATAGTCTGTTCTGCACGGGTGACCCCAAAAAGTTGTGCAAGCAGATTTCTCAAAAAGTATAACATAAGCATTTTATTTTGATGGAGCATATTTATTATACTCTTGTGTATAATTAGTGAAAACGTCATGTAAACCCATTCATACAAACCAGAGCTCACATTGCATTGGAAATCGCTCAACCGGCACTTTGCAATGGGTCTTTTCATTAACTGTGTAAATCACATTGGGACGGGTGAAAAACACATTGCCATTTCTATAATCTGTTGCATCTCTTGTTTGCATGAATGAATTTCCGTCAAAGTTTTCCGCGGTGATTTATACACAAGAGTACCATACAATACAGGGCGAGTCTAAAAAAACGAAACCCAAATGTTTGGACCATTGTTTTAGGGAAGTTCTGCATGTAGCATTTTCAAAATCTAGGATATGAAAGCCAAATTCATAAGCTTTCTTTTAGTACAAGATTCATTCAAATCACTCATGTACTTTTCAAGTTACGGAATTTTAAACGCAACCACCGTTTTAAGGTTCTGTCCATGGATCGCAAAAAAGTTCAGCGTTCTTTCAGCAAAACGAAAACAAATCACATAGGGATGTGTGTGAATTGTTTTACGATTTGCTGAAAGAGCGCACACCTTTTTGGTGATCCGTGGACAGAACCTTAAAAGGTTGGTTGTGTTTAAAATGCCATAACTTAAAAAGGACATGAGTGATTTGAATGATTTTTATACTAAAAGACAGCTTATGAATTGGGCTTTTATATACTAGATTTTGAAAGTGCTACATGCAGACCTTCAATAAAACAATAGTCCCGACATTTGGGTTTCTTTCTTTTTTTGGACTCACCCTGTATACATGTACTCCATCAACATGAAATGCTGATGTTTGATACTTTTTGAGGAATTTAAAGATGTCTGCTTGCACAACTTTTTGTGGGTCTCCCTGCAGCTGAAAGCCGTTGAGACTTAAGTGTGTCATCAGTGAGACAGTCGAAGGAAAGCTGAACACCGGAAAAAACAGGCCCGTAGCCAGCCTAATCTAAGTCCTTTTGAATTTACCTACATGTATTTTTAAAACAAAAAAACCTGGACCTTTCTTATTATTTTTTTTAATTGAAATGTGAACGACCAATAACGCAAGTATAAACCTGCCTACAGGCATGGGCTAGTTAAAGTGCTTGTACTTGGAAATTTAATTTAATTTCGAAAGCAATGAAGCCTAATTAAAGGGACAGTTGACAAGAACGGACACAATTCTAAATACTTAGAAGACTCTCAATAAACTTAGGGAGTTTTGAAAGTATTTTATTAGAATGATTCTCCAATCTACATCTGGCAAAACGTGTATATCATCATTCTACTGCTCCGTATAGCGCTGCAACAACGGCGTCTTCAGGGCTTACTTTATTTCCAACCTCGTTACCAGTGCGGGTAGTGGTGGGAGTGTACTGCTTGACACCTTGCAGTGGTGTAGCAAGGTCATTTTTTAGTGGGGGGGGGGGGTAAAAATCTCTTAAAAAGGGCACTGGGCACGTCCGTGCTCAAATTAATGTAGACACGTTTTTTTTCCTCCGGACACTTGACCTCCGTAAAATCAAATGTTGGGGGGGGGGGGGGGGGAGGTACCATCTGTCGATGGGGGCGTACTTCAAAGCCGACGATTACGCCCATGACGGACAATCTATGGTGCTGTTAAGATCGATACATGGTCGAAATTAAAAAACAAAAAGGCACAAGTAAAACAGCCGATGGGTTCAGAAAAAGGGCAATATTGTGCAGAAAACGGGCACTTGCCCCTACGCCCTGGGCCAGGAACGAGGTTGCCGCTGCAACTCCCACAGACAACATGAACGCACACAGCGCCCTACGGTTGACGCAATTGCGCTTGTCATTTGCCCACTCCATCCAGTTGAAAGGGGTGAAGGTTCTACATGAAGACAAGAGATTCACTAGAAACTAGGAACTCGACGTCTCTAGAAAGCAGAGGGTCGTGGGTTCGAGTCCCACCCGATTGATTTTTTTTCTCACTTTCACTCCCGAGGGTTGCACGCTGAGTGTGCAGTGTTTATACGTCGGTGAAGGGCAAACATCTAATTAGATTTACATCACCCGACGCAAATTCATCTTATGATAATGTGGTACCCGCTATAGCTGCTATCAGAGTCGAACCAACCACTAAATGTAAATGGTCCGTGAACCAACCGATCCTGCAAGCTCGCTGGTCGATTGGTAAGACTTCCGCACTAGAAAGCAGGAGGTCGTGGGTTCGAGTCCCACCCGAGTGACCTTTTTCCAACTTTCACTCGGGTAATAATACAACACACTGACGCAGTGTTTATACGTCGGCGAAGGGCAAAACCTAATATTGATTCACATCACTGTAGTTGACTATAACAATGGTGTGACGTCATTATTCTTTGCTCTTGAATAAACATAACTTTCACAAGGAAACTATCCATTCAGGATGTCTGCTGCAGAAAAATGCATCCATTTCCCTGCTACCCCCCCCCCCCCCCCCCCGGGACGCGAATCCCCTCCCCCCCCCCCCCCCCGACATCCGTTTCCCATCTTCTGATTGATCCATTACATGCATATCTAATGCCTTGTTCGGCCCCCAAAAAAGTCTCCGGTTTCTGGTATGCGCGCGCGTCGCCGTAGCCATGCGCGTCGGCAAAATGAAAAAGTTTTTTTTTCAATGAAAGATGATGTCTCAAAACCGCCAAACTCACTGGTTTGACTGGAATCCTGCTGCTGCACAATTTTAATGTGTTTTTAGATTGGGTTATGGTCGAGAATAAGCTTTATGTGGCCTCTCTGGACTCCCATATATTTGCACTACGTTTAGTCGGGCACCATTTGCAGTCATCAGCCGACATTTGAAGCAAAAAAAATCAGGTAAAAAAAAAAAAAAGCAAGCTCCATACCAGAAACCGGAGACTTTTTTTTGGGGGGGGGGGGGCCTTCTCCAACATAAACCAAAGATAGGCTTTACATCTTGTGAGAGAGGTTCTTTCCTCACTTTAGTTATTTAAGGTAACATGAGAAGAAGTGAAAAACGCTCACTATGAGACTCGAACTCGATTTCACCTGCGCCCTGACCACCTATCCGAAGTTTTTTTTTTTAATATTAAACCCGAACGACTTCAGGACTACCCTGATGGCCATCATGAATATCGTCACCGACACCACGAAGTAACACCCATCTACATACCAGTAACAACTGGCAATCGAAGAAAACGGCAACTAAAGTTGAACGCCTACTAAAACAACACTTTTCGTCAAAACGACTGAGTATTTTCAGTTGGGTTTCTCGTTGTGGACACTTGATGAATTGAATTTATTAAATCTGCTGTTTTTCACCCGTTTGTGTATTAAATAAACAAGAAATAAAAGAAAAAAGATGAGTGTTAGTTCGTGAAACCGAAAAGGCTGCGAAACTGTAAATTTTCGTTTTCACGAAGTAACACTAATCAATGTATTCAACACGAGGAAAGTGCAACTTCACGTCAGCACGCGCGCGCACAACTTATTACAAGAAGAGTGTTACTTCGTGAAAACGTTTTTGCTCACTTATGAGCAGAGTGTGCGCCATGCATTGCAATGGTAAATCGAACTCGAGTGTTACTTCGTGAAAACGAAAATTGCCACTTTTGCGCAACAGTTGCCATGGATACTTAGCGTAATTATTAAAGTAAAGCTCTTGAAGCTTTGAAACTTCGTGCAATGGTAGACCTTGATGAATAATGTTTAAAAATCCAAAAAACTGAAAATCGAAAAAAATATGGTTTAACACGTGACGGTAGACTGTTACTTCGTGGTGTCGGTGACGATATGTATAACGCAGCGAGAGGGCCCTCTTTTTATATTGTCCAATCTCGTTTGGGAAAAAAATTTCGCTTGCGCCCTGACCACCTATCCGAAGTTTTTGTTGTTGTAATATTAAACCCGAAAGACTTTTATTTTAAATTTGGAAAAAAAAGTAGAAAGAAATGCTCTGCACATCTGCCAAGTTTATGGAATTGGTGTGAAAGTGAGCAACACAAAATATCAGGGGAAAAACCAAAGCACACCCCCCAAAAACAGAACACCCCCCCCCCAATATTACACTCATGGGTCGGGGATCAATTCGAAAAAAAGGAAAGGCGTGGCGGTGATATCGGGAAACAATGTCGGGGTAGGGCGTGGCGGATGTTGCCTCCCACTCGAAAATTAAAGGAAATGGAAATAATGCCAGTGATTTCGTACCTTCTTTTTAATCATTCGTATTAAAGATGGAATTTTGCGTCGGGATGATGTAAATCAAACTAGCTTTTTTG